GAGGCTCCAGGGGTCCTTAGCTAGGGTGTTCTCGATGATTTTCTCCTTTTTTTCTTCTCTGGAGAGTCACATAGCGACTATAGGTTTGTAACTGAGCGCCACTATTTACAATTATCGCGGTATTTGTGAAACTCTCCTGTTAACGGGGTAAGGTGAATGGCAGTGTGACTAGAGCTTGCAGTGTCCGCTGTGTTGAATCTTATACTGTATCCAACGGGAGTTTCACTTCATTGAAGTCAACTATTTGCTACCAGACTGGGAAGGCTCAACAACTTACTCGAAAATTGATTTCGGGTAGGAAATTGGCGTGCAGAAAAGCCCAGTGTTGGTCGATAACTTCCATGGATTTTCAAATCTTCAGGTGTTGAATTTGAAGTTCTGCGACGTAAGGCTCGCGCTAAAGCTAGGATATCTGGGTCTTGCAAATTCACTATCGATGGCGACTCACGGTCGAATTTTGACTGGCACGGTGTCACTCAGAGTCAACCACCGCCCTTCTCTTATGGTAAGTTGCCCGCTCACATTTGTCGAAATGTTTACCCAAGTTAATCAAAGTACTTTCTTTAGTGAAGGAGTCCCTGGATGGCTCGCAAGATAAGGAAAATGTTCCAAGTGAAAGTGACTCGGATAAAAGGTTACTACATCATTTTGCGCCTATCACGGACTGTTGAAAACTTTTTTGTTACAGCCCGGAAAAAGGTGACTTGTCTGGAGATCACGAATGGCTTGAGAATATTGGCATGTCACCAAGGAAGTCGGCGAAACTCAAACGATAGTAAGTTTCACATTGTGAGCTGGTTCACTGGTTTGTTCAAAGGACCAAGGACAAGGACAGAAGGACAAGGTTTACGAAGAAGGATCGCAAGGTGTTACGACACATTTATTAGATGGGAACTACTACAGATGGAGGGGAGGGGGTCTACGTCTCGTCTTAAACGTCGAAGGAAGATAGAGTGAGGCCCTCACCTGGTGAGTATCAGCTTGGCCCCCTATCAGGTAGGGGGCGGACTTAAGAAGGGATCATCGTCTTGGACAATGAGACGACGAGGGATGGGATCGTCGTCGGAGACCGCGATACATATTGCATTTC